CCAGAACATTTTTTTTTTCAAGTGCTAAAATAAAAGGATTGTCAACCCAGGATTTTATAACCAGTAAAAATATCCTTCAGGAATAAAGAAGAAAAAAAATTCTCGCCTGGCCAGTGTGGTTCAGCGGATTGAGCATCCATCGTCCCATGGACTGAGAGGTCCCAGTTCAATTCCCGGTCAGGGCACATGCCCAGGTTGCAGGCTGGATCCCCAGCAGGGGGCGTGCAGGAGGCAGTCAATAGATGTTTCTCTGACACATTGATGTTTCTCTCTCTGTCCCTTCCTCTCTCTCAAAAAAAAAAAAAAAATCATCCTGGCTGGTTTGGCTCAGTGGTAGAGCATCAGCCTGCGGACCAAAGTGTTGCGGGTTCAATTCCAGCCAAGGGCACAGACCCTAATTGCGGTTTCTCCCTGGCCCTAGTTGAGGTCCTGCGGGAGGCAACCACTCGATGTGTCCCTTTCACATCGATGTTTCTCTTTCTCTCTCTCTCCCCCCCACTCCCACTCTATCTTAAGATATTTGAGAAAATATCCTCAGGTGAGAATTAAAATGAATGAATGAATGAATGAATAAAGAAAGAAAAAAAAGAACATTTTTTTTTAAATCAAGACATTCTCAGATGAAGGGAAACTAAGAGAAGGTGTACTTTATTTTTATTTTTTTTATCCTCACCCAAGGACACTTTTCCATTTTTTGTTCAGATAGAATGGGAGAGAGAGAGCGAAAGAGAGAGAAACATAGATGTGAAAGGGACACATCGAGTGGTTGCCACCCGCACGACCCAACCATGGAGGGAACAAACTGCAACCAAGGTACGGGCCCCCAGCGGGAACCGAACCCAGGTCTCTCTGGACTGCAGGCCGATGCTTTAACCACTGAGCCAAACCAGCCAGGGCTAGCAGGCCTACTTTATTTATTTATTTTTTTTAAAATATGGAACGCTTCACGAATTTGCGTGTCATCCTTGCGCAGGGGCCATGCTAATCTTCTCTGTATCGTTCCAATTTTAGTATATGTGCTGCCGAAGCGAGCACTAGCAGGCCTACTTTAAAAGAATGGGTAAACAAAGCACTTAATCAAAAGAAATTATAATAAAAAAGGAACCTTGGAATATCAGGGAGGAAGAAGGAAAGTAAAAATAGGAGTAAATGCATCTGGCCGATGTGGCTCGGTGGATTGAGCATCGTCCCGTGGACTGAGAGTTCCTGGTTCAATTCTGGGTCAGAGCACATGCCCAGGTTGCAGGCTGGATCCCCAGCAGGGGGCGTGCAGGAGGCAACCAATTGATGATTCTCTCACACATCAATGTTTGTCTCTCTCTATTCCTCTCTCCCTAAAAAAAATCAATAAAAACATATATTTTTTAATTTAATTTCTTTTTATCCTCACCTGAGGACATTTTTCCATTTTTTGTTCAGATAGAGTGGGAGGGAGAGAGAGAGAGAGAGAGAAACATTGACGTGAAAGGAACACATCGAGTGGCTGCCTCCCCTACGACCCAACCAGGGCCCAACCAGGGCCCAACCAGGGCCCAGGACAAACTGCAACCCAGGTACGTGCCCTTAGCGGGAACCAAACCTGGGTCTCTCTGGACCGCAGGCCAACGCTCTAACCACTGAGCCAAACCGGCCAGGGCTAAAACATTTATTTTTTTAAACAAAGAGTAGTCCGGCTGGTATGGCTCAGTGGTTGAGCATCAACCCATGCACCAATAGGTTGCTAGATCAATTCCCAGTCAGGGCACATGCCCAGGTTGTAGGCTGGATCCCCAGGGGGGGGGCATGCAGGAGGAGGCCAATTGATGTTCTCTCTCATCAATGTCTCTCTCCCTCTCCGTTCCTCTCTCTCTAAAATCAATAAAGAAAAAATTATTTTTTAAAAGAAAAGAGTAAATACAAGACACTCCTCAAGTTTTTAAATTATTTGATAGTTGAAGCAAAAATTTTAATGCTGTCTCATGTGGTTTCAATGTACGTAGAGAAAATGTTTAAGACACTATATTATAAATGGGGAGGGCAAAGATATTTAAATAATGAGAGGGAGAGAAAGGTGTGATTATAAAGGGGTAGTATGAGAGAGATCTTTTGCCGATGGAACAGTTTTGTATCTTGATTGTGGTACTGGTTTCACAAATCTATACATGTGATAGAACTATGCACACACTTTTACCAATGTCAAGTTTCTGGTTTTGATATTGTACTATAGTTACATACAATGTACCCATAGGGTATAGTGGCTCTACTGTGTTCACAACTTCTTTTGTATCTATATAATTATTTCAAAATAAAAGTTAATGAAAAATACAAAGAAATTATGTAAAAATCACCCAAAAAAGCAATAAATAAGTGAAAGCAAAATGGAACAAAACCAGGTGTGTCAACTAAGTTTGTAGCACAACCACACAGAGGAACTATTTCAAGTAACTTTAAAACACAGAAACAGTAATTTGACTCTACATTTTTTCTTGTTTTTTCTTTTAGAGATAGAAAGATCAATTTGTTGTTGCACTTATTTATGCATTCCTTGGTTGATTCTTTTATGTGCGCTGACTGGGGATCAAACCCACAATACTTTGGTGTACTGGGACCACACTCTAGCCCAGTGGTTCTCAACCTTCCTAATGCCACGACCTTTTAATTCAGTTCCTCATGTTGTGGTGACCCCCCAACCATAAAATTATTTTCATTGCTACTTCATAACTGTAATTTTCCTACTGTTATGTCTTAGGCGACCCCTGTGAAAGGGTCGTTCGACCCCCAAAGGGGTCGTGACCCACAGGTTGAGAACTGCTGCCTAACCAAATGAGCTACGTGGCCAGGTCCTGATTCTACATTCTTAATAGGAAATACCCTAAGGATAAAAAAAAAAAAATCTTAAAACATTTTCAGTAATCTTATTGTTGGTAGTCCCATTTATTCTGATACTGTTGTGTGTATATTATGGGATAAAACAAGTAATTATGTTGGCACCATTAAGAGCCAGATATTTTTAGTGTGGGAGAAAGGAGATACAGAATTAAGATAGTTAGGAAAAACTGTGTTAAATTGAATTAAATGAGAACTATCAGTATCATTTCATACTGTCTTTTCTCTTTAAGAAATGAAATAAATTATATTTCTTAGTTCTGCTCACTGAGAAAAGTCCCAGAAGCAATGATCAACCAAGGACCAATGAGTACCACCAGCTTGTTATCTCTAAATAATAATTCCTACAAAAACGAAACAGGGTTTCTTAGAGAAATTGCTGATTACAGGTCTGGGGCAGTAAGTGGGCCTAAGGATGGGCTTAAAACATTTCTTAGGATAGCAAGGAAGCTATCAGAAATTAATGGAGTTGTTTCAAAATATCAGCACTGGCCAAAAGCCCTCCTTCTGACCAAAGATGGAACAATTTAAGCATCAATCAGAATAATAGCTGCAATGGATTAAAAAAGCATCCAATATGTTCAAACCTGTAAATTCACGATGGTACTCAAAAAAAAACAAAATAGCCTTATTGATCACCTTGGGAGAATACTAGGGAGCAAACTCATTATTTTGAAAACTGGTAAATAATGGGGGGAAATTATTTATCCTGCCTTTCATATGTGAACTGTATCGCACAATAACCAAAATTTTAATGGGATGTTTCTCGTTATAGAAGTTGTAGAGCTAATAAATGAAGAAATAATGAGAGCCTCAAATCAAATGTCACCTTTTTGTGACCTGTAATGGAATAAAGGATGTAGGCAATTGTCAAGGGCTGCTAACATCAGAAAGAGAGAGTTAACTAGGCTGCACAAGCCTTCTGATGAAAATACACACCACCGTTTAAGAACTGTTCTTGCCCAAATACCAAACCTAAATCTGAGTAAGTCTCTACCACCAATTCACAGGACTAACACCATGGAGGTGCAATCAGAAAATCCAGAAAATAAATGTTGGCCAGCCTGGTCCGTGTGGCTCAGTGGTTGAGCATAGACCCATACAGCAAGAAGTCGCTAGTTAGACTCCCTATCAGGGCACATACCTAGTTGTGGGCCCAATCCCCAGTAGGGGGCATGCAGGAGGTGGCCAATCGATGTTCTCTCTCATCAATGTTTCTATCTCTCCCTCTCCCTTCCTCTCTAAAATCAATAAAAAATAAATATAAAAAAAATAAAAATAATAAATGTTGACCAAATATTTGATGGTATTAAAGTCTTACTGTTAACTCTGAGCTTTGATACCTATTGTAGGGGTGTCCATTTAAGTCCTTACCATTTAGAGATACATACTGGAACATTTACAGACCAAAAAAATAAATAAAAATGCAAATTCGATTTGCTTCAGAATAACCTGAGGTCAAGGAGGGAAGAGTAAGATGAGTGTAAATGAAACAAGATCGGCCATATGTTGGTTATTGTTGACTGTGGGTGCTAAATACATGAAGATTCATTTGATGATTCTCTCCACTTTTGCATGGGTTTGAAATTGATCCTAATAGAAAGTTCTCGTTGTCTCCCTAATCTCCACCCATTGGCTTTTTTCTCTTCTCTGGAACCTAGGCTAGTGTCATTATAACCAGTGTCATAATAGCCGGCATTTTTGGAACACAGCCTTACTATATGCTAAACTCATGTTACGAGCTTTTTTAATGAAACTCTGCATTTGATCCTGACAAAATCCTGAAGTAGATACTATCATTATCCCCATTTCATAGATGAGGAACCTGAGGGAACGAGGTTTGATGACAAAGCTAAGCCTCACTAACACACAAGAGTAAAAGATTAAGATCACTGTCTTCCGTCTTCCTTTTTTGGGTCTAAACACCCTCTCGCCCCGCCCCGGTCACTGTGGCCTCCATGTCCCGCGCCAGCCAAGAGCTATTCAAGTGGCCGAGTTTCTCGGAAAATCCCTGCCCACTGTACAGCTTGCCCCACCCCCACCTGGGGTGCGGCTACTTCCAGACAAGCTCTGGCCCTGGGCGGCCAAGCCAGCCCGAGCATGTGCCTGTCGGGGCGGTGGGGGCGGGGGCTCACCTGGGCCTCGGTGCCTCTTCTCCATCCAGATGTAGCAGTTGTTCTGGGCCACCCCAGTCTGCGAGTCCAGGAAGGGGAGCCGCACACTGCGCTCTGCACATAGCCGCGAGTTGTAACTCCGGCAGTGCTCAATGGCTTCCTTGTAGAACTGGTCGCCGAGCCTGCGAGGAGAGAGCGCCGAGTGAGCCAGAGAAAGCCGAAACACGCCCGGGACGCCGATGCCGCCCACGCGCCGCCCACGCGCCGCCCGGGAGGAGGGCGGAGGAGTATCCAGGGCCTGGCCGACCCACAGGACCCGGCTCGGGCTCCGGGCTCCACCAGGTTCGCTCCTGTACCAAACCCAGCAGAACACGAACAAACCTCCTTAACAAAGAACCTAGGGCCCCGAGAATAAACGGCGAAAATTAATCAGCACAGACCTCATCTCGAATGGAGTCTGGAGACTGGAAGAGAGCACGTGCACGCCAAGTCGCGCGGTCGCCAGCCCGCCAGGCCGCCCGAGCCCTCCGCGTCTGGACTGCGCAGGAAGTGGCAGCGCTTTAGTACCTGGCGGGAGAAGGCTCCTCCTGGCGCGCCGGCCAATGGGAGACTGCCACAGCGCGGGCAATGGAAAGTCACTGTGCTCCCACCTGCGCCAATGGGCTCTTCCTTTACAACAGCCTACAGCAGCCCCTCCCGAGTCCATGAATAGTTCCTCTCCTTCGTGTCTCTGGACTTGGACGTGATTCACCATTAGACAGCTTGGCCAGGATTGCCCGTTCTTTTGTTTACGAATGAACCTACTTTGCTGGAGAAATACCTGGCTATTTGTTTAAGGTCAACAAAATTACCAGTAAAAGTGACAAGTTCCTGTCCTAGGAAGCATGGGATTCCACTTTAAAATTGAGGTATCTCTGAAACAACTTTCTTCATGGGATCTACTGCGACATCAGACTTCTAGAGTGCCCTCATTAACATCCTCCATTAGACACATTTTGTTCTCAGCAATTGCCAGCAAAGACAGTCTAGAATGAACCCAAACCACCAGCATAGATGCACAGATTTCCATTACAATTGAAGAGAAACTCTCCAAATAAAAGATCAGAAGGACAGAGGAGACATTCCATAAAAGGAGAGCTATGATGGGGGAAGGGGGTGAAGAGGATCATGTACCAGTCTTTTGAAACCACACACTTAAAGAAAAAGAACTTTCTGATGAAAAATAAAAGTGTTTAAAATAATAATAGTTTAATTTTGAACTCAAAATAATTGAATTCAAAACCTAGAAAGACCTTTCTACTTTTCTGGAGCAGTGATCTGATTAAACACAGTAAATGTAGATTCCTGTATCTTCGGTATCCTTGGACATGTGGTGATGCTAGTAATTTTAAGACTCTTTTCAAAGACCAAAAATATAACATTGATGAAAACTGATCAAACGTAAAGCACACACCTAAAACTAATATGAAATAATATTGAATGTCAACTGTAATTGAAAATTTTTCAATTAAATTTTTAAGTTATAGCAATAATATGCATTTCACCTACAAGAGTAAAAATGTTGAAATGTCAAACACAAAAATAATCAATGAGATCAAATATCTAACAAATGAAAGCTAGGTACATGTTGGAGGTTAATAAATGGCTCAAGAAATACAAATGTAATAACATAACCATTGCCAGGTAAACTTGAGCCTCTTGGAGCAGAGGAGAAACAGACAGGAAGAGGAGAGCCCCGGGATTGCAAGGCCAAAGGGAGAATCAAGTAGCTCATTTTGAAGCGACATTATGAATGTCCCTTTGTTTTGGTTCTATGTAGATATGAAAAGTCAATATCAGGCAAAGTCACTAAGTTAAAAATAATGTATTTCTTAACCAAAATATTTAGAGGAATAAAGAAAACAAATTTTAGCCCTGGTCGGTTTGGCTCAGCGGTTGGAGCGTCAGCCTGCGGTACAGAGAGATCCGGGTTCGGTTCCCGCTAAAGGCACATACCTCGGTTGCAGTTTGTCCCCGGCCCTGGTTGGTCGTGCGGGTGGCAGCCACTCAATGTGTCCCTTCACATCAATGTTTCTCTCTCTCTCTCTTCCTTTCTCTCCCTCCCGCTCTATCTGAACAAAAAAATGGAAAAATGTCCTCGGGTGAGGATAAAAAAAAGAAAACAAATTTTAAACAAAATTTTCTATACTTTTTTTTTTTTTAAGTCAATGGATCAGTCTACCAGAGTTTAAAGCAAATTTCTCATTCTGGGAGTATACAATCATTGTAGCCATGAGGCATCTTTTGGAAATTACTTATTGGCATGCCCCCTTTAAAAACAAAATCCCCCTTGCTCCTTTTTCACCTCTGAATATCTTCACTCTCACAAGGAGGGCAAAACGTGCTCAGAAAGTGTCCTAGCAGCTGAAAACCAAACTGTAGTAGTCACACAGCTGGAACTGAATTGGGGAGGGGGATAAAAGCCCATTAAAATGCTATAAAGTGGAACAGCACATATGCTGATGTAATCAAGGTCAGTAACAAGGATTATGAGATTGATCAAAAATAAAGAACCATTTCCTACAAAGTATTTGCATCTGCGTTCCACCGGTCTCAGCAACAGCATGGCTTTAGCAGAAGGAGACCAGTGTAACAGGACTTTCACAGGCAGCTCAGCCCAGGCAAGATGACACAGCCCAACTAGGGTGCCCTGGATGCTCCAGCTCCCCTCGAACGAAACAACGACCAGCCACGCCACACTGGTGGGAAATGACAGAGAGGTGTCCGATGTGAGAAACAGTTATCTGTTTTCCCACGATCTTTGGACAGCCTGCCAAAAATGATGTTAACTATTCCAACTCCAGAAATTCAGCTAAAAGAGAACCCACTAAAACAAGAAAAGAAAATTATACACTAAAACTGAACAACTGAAGAGAAGAGGGTTTCCATTTTCAAAACAAACTCTGGAAGCCAATACATTAGAAATCTATAGTAGGCTCTCAAATTAGACTTTCCCTGATATGCTCGTAACTTACTCGCAAAAGCGTCATTCCTAAAGAGTAAGAAAGTGAGCTTGCTGAAAATGAAAAGTGAGGTTGGCCAAGTCCGGGCCCCATGCGGAATGGAACAAGAAAGTCAAACAAAGTGGTACACTGAGCAAAAATTAATTTCATCTTAAATACTTTCCACTTTCATAACATGCAATGTTATTAGTAACAGGTATGCTGGGGGTATATTTTTAAATGTAATCTTTGTGTGAATGATACCTCCCTTATGTAAACAGAAAAAACTTTCTGGGGTCTGGAACAACCGTATTAAAGATTGAAGCTGCAAAAAATGTGACATCAAACACCCTCTCTGCCATCGTCTCCAGGGAAGTCACTTTTAAACAGACCAGGCGTTGGCAGAGATTTGGAAACAAAATGTAAAGCCTTTTTCAAGATAATGGGAGGAGAAAAGAGGCTTGAACCTCCTTGATGAATTCAAGCAGCTCTTCTCCAAAAGTTAATTAGCCAAAATGTTCACAAGGCTTGCTCTGCTGTCCGGAAGAAAATAATGGCCAGGTCTCCCTATAACCTGTGGGAAGCAATTTAAACAGGAGAGAGGACAAATGTCCTTTTCAATATGGTATTTCTTAAAAAAATATCCCACAGTGATAGGATCCCAGGGGTGACATTTGCATTTAAGTTGCAAGGGGCAGAGGGAGCAAGGAAAGACTGGCAGCGGACCACTCCTTTGTGGAGTGGTGACCAGTGTGCCCCAGGCTGGGTCAGGCACAGCCAAGCCCCAGCAGTCACCTGTCTGCACCAAACCAAGAGGGCTGGCTTTTCCACGGGATGATAGATGTCTTGGGCTGGCACAGGCTGAGTAGAATGATGTTCTCATCAGCAACTGACTTCAGGCTACTCAAGACTGCAATCAGAAGTGGGAAAGGCGGGGGAACAAATTGCTGGGCTCTCTGCCTGGAGTATGCTGGCTGCCTGGTTCTGGGCTTTGTGAGCGGTGAGGTCCCTTAGGAATCCCATCTGGAATGAAAGTAGCCATCCCAGCTCTGAGAGTGCTCCAGTGACCCCCCTTGAGCAGATCTGTGGAGAAATGGATTCCAGGGACCAAAGAGGAGTCACAGAGGACAAACAATGAGATTTCTCCAAACTGAATGCCAACGAGGCTCTAACAGTGCTTCTCAGAGCACATAACACACACACCCTTCTTCGAGACTCTCTCCTCTCCTTCCTCACACTTCCACCTCCCTCTCTTTTAAGACCTGATCTGTTTGCTGTTCTCCTAGATTCCATTCCTGACCTGACTCCCAGACCCAGCCCTCCAACCCACACACCTGGGGCCCCTGGCTCTTCACTGTCCCTCTGGTCCTGACCCAGGGACAGGTGTCCCGCCTCACCTCACACACCTGTCGAAAAGCAAATTCCTCATCTCTTGCACAGCCTGCTCCCTTCCCCTGGACTCCATTCTTCTAGGTTGGGGTGGGAGACCTAGGAACCCTGTTCTCCTAGCTCCCCAGCAAGTTGTCCTTGGTCCTTCCCTGCCCTTCATCCCATGTGGCACTGAATTCTTTCCTTTCTTAGGGAGTTGTCCCTTTTTCTCCATTCCCACTGCATGGCCTTTTTTGACTGATAAAAAAGGACCTTGGCCCATCACAGCAATTTGTGCATAAAAACAAAGATAAGAAGGAATGAACAGAAGGCCTGGCCTGCAGCAGAATTTCTGTCTTCTCCTGCCCGCAGTGCCCCCGCCCTTTTGTCTGTGAGCACCTGGATTTCCCTGCTGTCTCGCTCAGCTACCCATATTCCTACAATTGCCCACAAACACATTCAGACTCGTCTGCACCACACCAATAGGCTAACTTCCTTCTGTTTGCATTTAAACATGTTTAACTCTGTGGCATGGAAAGTCATCTCCCATTTATGTGGTGTTTTACAACTAGCAAGAGGGGGGCAATATTGGGTAAGGTGGGGGAACTTTTTGTTTTCCTTATAGTTATACTGTTCCTACAGCTGCCCTGGAAACAAAGCCAAGTTTAGTGTTTGCTATGGACTGAATTATGTCTCCCCAAAATTCACATATTGAAGCCCTAACCTTCAGTGTGATGGTATTTGGAGATGGAACCTTTGGGGATGAAGGGATTAGTACCCTTATAAAAAAAAGAAATCTCAATCTCTCTCTCTCTCTGTCCCCCTCCACCACC